TGGCAATTTTTTCCCTAAACAAAATTTTACGGATTTACACTTTGGCTGGCAGTCAAAATTTTCCAAGCAATTCAAAATATACCACTAAACTCATGATTTTCAAGAAAAAACTCCTTTTATCAGTGATTACGGAGGGTTTTAAGATCAGCGACTGACTCGTTGCACTCAGCTGAGGCTACTTTTTTAATATGTTAGCTTTAATTTTAAGTCTAAAGTAGCATTTCCACAATCTTTGAGTGATTGCCCAGAACTTATAGGGCCAGCTTGTTGCACTGTGGTAACATTTGTTAACGCGCTGGTTTCATGATGTTAAGCCGGAGCTTTCTCAAGTCTTATGGACACGCTGCCTTTGAAATACTGTACAGCTTAGGAAAATAGACCTTGATTTTGAGTATAAGCAGCCAGAAGCATAGGGATATGAGGAGGAGGAAGATGAAGAGATTGATGACCGTCAGGATGCAGTTGATGATCGACAAAACCCGAACTTGCTTGTTGCGCACGAGCGGGGCGATTCGCTAAAATTATCAAATTTTCGAAAGTTTGATAAAAACGGCTGCGGAATTTGAAAGTCGAAAATAATTACATCACCGGCATGGTTTATTGAGAGGTGCGGAGTTTAAGAAATGGCAATACTACAGGTATCTGTAAATTTCCCTCCATCTCTCGTGGATGGAACGTTTTTTTTGTACAAAATTATGGACCGCGATGAAATCGAATCACTCGTCTTCATGTCCAGACGCGGCGTGGTAGGCCCTTGTGATCTACACGCCAGTTAGATACACTAACTGATTTGAATGTGTGTCAACTGTACAAATTTTACTCTGCACTATTGATACTACTATGTACCAATTTATGCTAATTTTTCACTAGACTTTCGCGACATCCCCTCTCCTATTCCCATCTCTCCGCCGTACGCACTACTGGTTCAGGCCTCTCATGAAGTGATGAAGATGTTACTGAATGAGCTATCAGTTTCAGGCCTTCCTATTCTCAATTAGCCTACATATCCCAATGAGTTACAAGATTTCCTGCCGCTCAGACTTTTGGTGATTTTCAGCTAAATGTAATGCTGTGCAGCCTAGGAGCACCCGAGGCCGAGAACGAAAAAATACACTTTAATTCAAATGTGTAACTCTTTGTAGCGTAAATTTCATTTATTTGTTGTAACTGTCTCTTTTTTGTTTGTTATTTTTTCCATTTATTATATTTATCTACATTTACTAAATTCATTCCTTTCTTGTTTATTACATTTTTTCATTTACTGTTTCTGCTTTTACAATGTTTTCCGTCCATTGTACTCCTCGCCTTTTGCCTCCATACCATGTTTTTTGATTTGCTGGACGCAGACTTGCTAGGACAAAATGCTCAAAAAACAAAAGTTAACAATTCGAGTTTACTGCTGGGATGGGGCCGAAATGAAAGACTCTGAGTAAAAATGTAACTGTTTAATGACCAAAAAAGCGCTTTAGCAGCTATTCAAAAATGAAGTAAAAATCTTACGTAGTACCAAAACGAAAATGATGACGAGCTTCCTTTCTTGGAGCTTCTCGATGAACCCTCGTAGCCTTCCGATAAATCAGAGAGCTAAAATTTTGCCATAAAATTCCTCTAAAACACCATCTCTACTCTGGCTTGCTAGTACATATTATTATACTATGAATCGCGCTTGTTTCATTGCTTCCAGCAGAAAAATGTGAATTAGTGAATGCTTTTCAGGCTGACGTTTTTAAAACCTTAACAGCGTTGAAAACGATGTATTATTCGTTTTATTGTACAGTCGAAATGCAAAAGCAGACTGGGAGCTGAGGATGACTAGTCGCATTTCCAGGAGTTAATTCTGCAAACAAAATGCAGCTTCACCTGCTCGGTATCTTCTCCCGCAACAATGGATGCTACGATCTCGCCCTCAACAACCGATGGCTCTTCTTCGGCGCTTTGCGTTGGAGTCGGGTTAAGTCGCAACTGCTGCTGACGCTGCTTGTTTGCCATTCCGCGTTTTTATTGTATACCTGCGGCAAAATGGATTATGCGCTGTGGGATCGGTGCGCGAATCAAGAACAGACCAGCGGGCAAAGGACGAACCGGCTGCTGCACAGGACTTCTCAAGTAATGTCAAGCTTGTGCCTAACTTACTCTTAAGAACTCCATTTTATGCAGATTTTGAGTCACACCACAGGTCTAAGAGGTCTACAGTGAATTTCCATAGCCGCCATTGAAGCAACCTTGGAATTTAATCAAACCACGAGAGCTTATTTCTTAAAAAATATTTTTTCTATCGCAGAAAAATAAGCACAGCTGCATCGGACGAGTAAGTCAATAACATCAAATCTATGCAACGAATGTGCGGGAGATCTTGGTAATTTTCCGTCCATACTAATTATGTTGCCTGAAAATGAACCAAATCGACTATGCACAAGTCTGTGAACAGTGACATGAACTAGTTGTAGATCCAGTTATTTAAATGTGCAGGTGTTTAGCGAGAGAAATTTAACTAAACCATAGGAACATATCGAAAGCACAACAGGGGAAATAATGGCTTTTGCGCATTATTTTCCCTGTTGTGCATTCGATGCTTTTTGAGATTCTTTTACTTTTTACTAATGTAACCCCATAATTATGTCATTCCTCTCCTCCCACTAATTCCTAATACTTCGACCTACTTCTCCCGTCTTACTAACTTCTAACAATCCCACCTAATTCTAAATGTTTTTATACTACCTACCTTCCTACTCATTAACTAACTTATCCTCCTTTTCCCTCCATTAATCTTCCCTGTATAAACCCCTCCTAAATCCAAATCCTCAGTCAGTCAATTAGTTAGTTTGCGAAATCGTCAGTCTACGGCACTGTTCGACCGTCCAACTCTGCAAGCTTCTCGCCTCCCAGTCTGCCGTTGTTATTCTGTTGCACAGCTTGTGCGGTGCCCCGGCTCATCGTTTACGCGTCATCTTCGGCGTTT